TAGAAGTCAGAGATGGCAAAGAATTGGAGTGTCATGTCCCTCTCCGTAACCCATGCAGGATTGCTCCCTATTGCCCTGAAATTAAACACCCTGGCTGGCCCAGGGCAGCTGACTTGGGCTTGTGGGTCTCAGGCTGTGGGGCTGTAAAACTGCATTGTAGGCCTTGGGGTAGAGTGACCATACGTCCCGTTTTGGCTGGCAAAGGTGAGCATTCATCAAAAAAGTGGGGTGTGGAGGAACATGCGGGGGGCGAGCGGGGATGCCAGCCCCGTGCAGAGGGGGAGGCAGGGCTCGGGCCGGGGGGAGACAGGGCTTAAGCAAACAGCTATGCCAGCCCCAGCCTCGTGTGGGGGGCAGGCAGACCTCGGGAGAACAGCAATGCCAGCCCTGCATGGGGGGGGGGGTGCTCGGGCAAGCGGCTCAGGACAGCCCTGTGCGGGGGGAGGGGTGGCTTGGGCCAGCAGCTTGGGCCAGCCCCATGCATTGGGAGAGGGGGAAAGGTCTCAGACTAGCCCCACACGGTGTCCCGTTTTCCCTCGGATTGGAGCCTGGACTCTGGGATCCCCTCCCGTCGCGGGATCCACCTTGAATGGTCCCTTAGAGTATATACTAACTACCTATGCTAAACAATGTGTTCCACCTTGAATTTAGCTGTGACGCTCCAAGTCCTGTTCCCAGACCCGAAGAAGAGCTCTGTGTTGTTTCTCTCACCAACAGAAGTTGGTCCAGCGTCTCTCTATTAAGTGTCTCCCAGTGTCCCCCATTGTCTCTCTATTAACCTGGGTGTCAACTGCAGCTGCTGCAGTGCTTCGTGGGAGTTGTAGTCCCATGTTCCTCGTGGCCCCGTTCTTTTTTATGGGCCTGGCTCTCCACTCAGACTCCATCCTCCATGATGCACTGCAGTGCCTCGCTGTGGCTGAGCCATCATGACATAGAGCCAGGAATAGAAACCACATCTCCGGACTCCTACAATAGTGTCCCATCCACTCGACCATGACTGCATGAAGCACTGGCCAGTGGACGTCATGGTGGCAGTACTGGGACCAATATAATGAGGGACATCAATTTCTGGAGATTGCTGTTGCCTTCCCTAGCAAGATCTTCATCTTCTGACATTATAACTGCAGCTTTCCCCAAGTGCTTTTAATAGGCACTGACCTTAAGGCCTCGTACTGCATTTATGAACCTTATTTCTACTAAACGCACGACTCAACACTCTGTGGAAGAAGCAGCAGGAAAACCAGGCCCAACTCCTCACCTGGCTTTTCACGTTGTCAATTTCCGCCTGCAGTCTATGGATCATGCGGTTAATCTCCGTGATCTCCGTCTTGGTGTTGCGCAGTTCATCCCCGTGTTTCCCCGCCGTGGCCTGCAGCGTCTCGAACTGCGACACACAACAATAGCTCCATAAAGGACAGTCATCACGATAGCGCTCAATGGCCCCTCACGGACTAGCCTCTCCAGACACATATTAAATAGCAGAAACTCCTAGTTCCCCGATTTCCATCGGCGCTCACCTTGGTTTGGTACCAGGACTCAGCTTCCATTCGGCTCTTCTTGGCCATGTCCTCGTACTGCGCTTTGACCTCAGCGATGATGCTGTCCATGTCCAGGTTTCGGTTGTTGTCCATGGTGAGGACCACAGAGGTGTCAGAGACCTGGGCCTGCAGCTCCCGAAGTTCCTGCAAATTACATGAAAAAAATTATAATCTCAATTGGCTAATTTTCTATCTCAGCTGAGCTTAGGGGTTGCCAACTTTCTATTTGCAGAAAACCGAACACCCTTGCCCTGCCCCCTGCCCCGCCCCTTTCCCCAGGCCACGCCCCCTGCTCACACCATCTCCCTCCCTCCGTTGCTCACTCTCCCCCCACCCTCGCTCACTTGCAAATTTTCATCGGGCTGGGGTAGGGGGTTGGGGTGCAGGGAGGAGTGGCGGTGAGGGCTACAGGTACAGGCGCTGGGGTGGGGCTGGAGATGAGGGGTTTGAGGTGCAGGAGAGGGCTCTGGGCTGAGGCAGGGGGTTGGGGTATGGGACGGGGTACGGGATCTAGGCTGGGGGTGTGTGGGCTCTGGGGTGGGGCCATAAATGAGGGGTTCAGGGTGTAGGAGAGAGATCCGGGCTGGGGCAGAGGGTTGGGGTGTGGGAGGGGGTATGGCCTCTGGGCTGGGGGGTGCAGGCTCTGGGGTAGGGCCATAAATGAGGGGTTCAGGGTGCAGGAGAGAGATCCGGGCTGGGACAGGGGGTTGGGGTGTGTGGGAGGGTGAGGGTTCCGGCTGGTGGTGCGGGCTCTGGGGTGGGGCTGGGGTTTGAGGTGCAAGAGGGGGCTCTGGGCTGGGGTAGGAGGCTGGGGTGCAGGAGGGGGTGCGGGCTCTGAGCGGCGCTTACCTCAGGCAGCTCCCGGGAAGCTGCCGGCATCTCCCTCCGGCTCCTAAGCGGAGGCACAACCACGTGGCTCTCCGCACTGCCCGCGCCTGCAGGCACCGCCCCCTCAGCTCCCATTGTCCATGATTCCTGTCCAATGGAAGCAGCGGAGCTGGTGCTGGAGGCGGGGGCAGCGCACAGAGCCTCTGTGGCCGTTCCTCCGCCTAGGAGCCAGAGGGAGATACCAGCAACATCCCGGGAGTTGCATGGAGCCGGGTAGGGAGCCTGCCTGCGGCGCCGACTGGACTTTTAACGGCGCGGTCAGCGGTGCTGACTGGAGCCACCAGGGTCCCTGGGTTCCAAAACCAGACACCTGACAACCCTACCTGAGCTGCCTGATTTCTCCCTCCTGTTCTAAGGTATCACTTTTAGAAACCAATTAAGATCAGACAAGAGAAGGAAAGGAAGGGAGATAAGAGGAAACTTGTCAAATAAATCATTAACCAGGAAGAAATCCAACTAAGTGTCACAACACAGTGGCTGCCAAAGCAGATCCTTCTGATGCTGCAAAGTGGGGGGGAGAAAAAAGCAGAGATGGAGCTGACACCTGTATCCAAACTCACCCAAAGGTTAAGGTGGGTCTCTGTAGAGAAAGGATCCCAGCTGTGGTGTGAAGGGCCAGATCCAAATGGATTCAAAGTTTGGATCCAGAGTTTTGGAGCCGGCCCAACTTTACTACAACGTTAGGGCCAGATTCTACCACTCTTAGCCATGGATGTAAAGTGACTGTCTCTACTGACTGCCAACTGAGCAAGTAAGAGGGCAGGGAGGGCTAAATTAGAGAGGGCTCCCCCTACTCTCCCTAGCAAAGGCGGGCACAGCTCCTGCGATGGGGTGATCACCTCACACGGGATTGAAAGGGTTAAGGTGGCCAGGCAGGCCAATTACCTTCAGAGGCTGCATCTGGAGGAAAAGCCAGGAGCAGGTAACTAATTGGAAGCAGGTTCAGCTGTGCAGGAACGGGGGGGGGGGGGGGGGGGGGGGGGCGCCTGTATAAAGCCAGGTAACTGACAACAGTTGGGGGCTGCTGGAAAAGGCTGCAGGAAGGCAGGCAGCAGTCGATCCCTGGGAAACGGGAGAAGGTTTAGAGCTGGTACACCCGGAGGGAGAAGGGGAACCAGGGGTGGTGGGAAGCAGTCTAGGGAAGGAGCAGTGAGGACTGAGAGAGGAAAGCCCAGAACAGCTGAGCTGAGGGTGCCTGGACTGGAACCTGGAATTGAGGGCAGGCCTGGGTTCCCCTGCCAGCCACTGAGGGAGTGAATGGGAAGACTGCCTACGACTGCTGGAGAGGAAAGACTGGAAGAGGGGAAATGCTGAGTGATCCAGCCAGAAGGAAGAGGATGCTGCGGTTTCTGGAGTGAGAGTGTGGCTGCAGACCAGAGGGAGAAGCGGAGCAATGGCATGGAAACCGCAGAAGGGGGTGTCAACCTCAAGAGCTAATCCCCAGAGTGACCAGGAGGAGGCGCCAGACCAGAGGGGAGTGGTGCAGACTGTGACAATTTGGTGGAGAACGCAGGCACACGGTTGCTCCTGATACAAGGGGAGGTTGAGAGACTGTGGTGGACTGTGAAAGACTGTATAAGGCAGTTACCCTGATGCAAGGCGAGCAGGACAGACTATTGTAGAGACGCCTGAGGCAAACGGCAACGGAGCCGCAGTGCGCGGAAGCTTTGTTTGCAGAGGGCATTTAGACCCTCCCAGGCTGGACTCCAGAATCCCCACCCCTGCAGAAGTGTGTGTGGATGGATCCAGGCCCTGCTGCAGCAGGTGCTGGAGAACCAGCAGAGACAGTGGGAGACACATTGGTATGTGCAGAATTATTTGGCGCCAAACTGCGGCAGACTCTAGTTATAAGCTCCTGCGGGAAGAAATTAGTAGAGGCCGCCGGGAGCGAGACAGGAAGGAAGGTATCGAGCCAGGAGGCCGGAGGCCTGGGAACAGGAGTGTTACGCCTGTGAGCGAGGAGGACACCAGAAAAGGGAGTGTCCCTACTAGGATGGGGGAGAGAAGAAAGCCCAAAAGAATGTGTCCTGTGGGGTGAACAGGAAAAAGAGGGGCATGTTTTGCCTGTGGTCAGCGGGGGAACCTCTGGGGGAGATGCCCATATATGAGCTGTGAGGTGAAGGCTAGCCCAGGGGAAGGAGCTGGGCAATAGAAGGCCAAAAGGAAGCCTTGCGGACAAGGCAAAGAAAAGGGTTTGCTTCGGGTGCCGTGAGGCTGGTCATATAAAAAGGCATTGCCCACTTAAGAGAGGGAGTGGTAGCAAAAGGGAAGTATGGGTCCCAGTGAGGCAGGAAAAAAGGGGTTACAAGATAGAACAATTGGAACAGAGAGGGCCCAGGTGAACATAGGAATGACCACAGAAGGGCAGCAGACGACGGTGGGGCCTCAGACCCTGACGGAAAGGGTATTGGAGGCTTACCAATGGGAATTGGAGAGAGGCCCAAGGTGGAGTCTTTGGGCATCATGACCAGTACTCAGTTAACTCTCTTGCCACAAGAAAATCAATATTAATTTTTTTTAGCTTGCGCCACTTGCATCTTCTGCAGTAAACTGCCCATATGCATAGGACCTGATTCTCCTCCTTACAACAGTATAATTCTATTATCTTCCAGGAAGCTATTCCTGATTCTCACTTAGAATCATAGACCTGGAAGGGACCTCGAGAGGTCATCTAGTCCAGTCCCCTGCACTCAAGGCAGGACTAAGTAATATCTAGACCAGCCCTGACAGGTGTTTGTCCAACCTGCTCTTAAAAATCTCCAATGATGGAGATTCCACAACCTCCCTAGGCAATTTATTCCAGTGCTTAACCACCCTGACAGTTAGGAACTTTTTCCTAATGTCCAACCAAACCTCCCTTGCTGCAATTTAAGCCCATTGCTTCTTGTCCTATCCTCAGAGGTTCAGAAGAACAATTTTTCTCACTCCTCCTTGTAACAACCTTTTATGTACTTGTTTAAGTGAGAGAAAAATCAGGATCTATCCATCCATAATATTTACATACCATAGCACTAATCACCAAGCATCTCCTTGGAAAAAGCAATCACTGATGGAGTTACACACCATCAGTCTGTCTATTTACGATTAGGGAGACCAGATGTCCCGATTTTATAGGGACAGTCCCAATTTGGGGGTCTTTTTCTTATATAGGCTCCTATTACCCCCCACCCCCGTCCCGATTTTTCACACTTGCAGTCTGGTCACCCTAATTTATGATAGAGGGAAAAGTCACTTACTGCTTCGTAGAGACCCCTCAGGAAGTTGATCTCATCGGTCAAGGCATCTACCTTGGCCTCCAGTTCCACCTTGTTCATGTAGGAAGCATCGACATCCTGAAGAACAATCAGAGATACAGTGAGACCAAGTTTGGCTTCAGTGGGAGTCAGGGGTGCTCATTGTCTCTGAAAATCAGGCTGTTTATTCAGGTTCCCAGATAAGAATTCGGGGGTTGCCTACATCCAGGGCTAGTCTACACTAGAAACGCTACAGCGCCTGTGAAAATCAGCTTCTGCAATTTCATTCAAGGATCGTGCCACTCACCTTTTTCAGAATGACAAACTCATTCTCTGCTGCCGTGCGCTTGTTGATTTCATCTTCGTACCTGTTGGGAGGAAAGGAAGCGACGTTGGTTAGAGCTAAAGCTGGTCAGGAATTGTTAGACAAAACGTCTTCTCGTCGTAAAACGCCCATTTGTGGAAACTGAATCTGTTGGTTTGGATAAATCTCCCGATTTGAGAAATGGTTTTTTTTTTTCAATTTTGAAATTGTAGAAACAGGCCAGTTTAACGTTTTAGAAACAAAGCTTCAGTGTTCGGTTCCAAACGACTTTTTTGTTTTGAAATTTTACTTCATTTTATATACCTTAAAAATAGCCTTAAAAATGTTACAACATTGAAATTGAAACATAACATTTCAGTTGGGCCCAATCTGATTTTTTTCCAGATGATCATTTTACATACATGTGGGGGATTTTGACTTTTTGTTCTGATGTGGGATGGGGAAAAAAGTCAAATCTCAAAAACTCTCATGGAATGGGAAAACAGTTTGCCACACACCGTTAGCTAGTGCCTGGCCAAAAATTCACAGTGAATAACTTAGCTGATCAGTTTAGCCTCTTGCTCCATTTGAGAATCATCTCCATTCAGTGTATGATTTCCCACCATGTGTTTGTCATTTGAAATTGTTTGCTGCAGGTTCTGTGGAGCGCCTTTTAAAGTGTGTGTGGGGGAGCGCATAGATTTGTCCCCTCCCTCATCTGACCCTCCTCTTCCCTTCCTAGGGCTCCCCCCAGCAGCTGACCCCCCAGCCCATGAGTAGCCCCTACACCAGAGGTGGGCAAACTACAGCCCGCAGGCCACATTCAGCCTGTGGGACCGTCCTGCCCGGCGCCCGAGCTCCCCAGCCCCTCCCCTCCAGTCCCCCTCCCCTGCAGCCTCAGCGCACCAGGCTGCCGGCGCAATGCTCTGGGCGGCGGGGCTCTGAGCTCCTGGGGCAGCGCAACTGCAGAGCCCGGCCTGACCCGGTGCTCTGTGCTGCACGGTGGCAGTGGCGTGGCCCAGCTCCAGCCAGGTGGCGCAGCTGTAGCGCCGCCAGCCACCGGTGCTCCAGGCAGCGCGGTAAAGGGGCAGGGAGCAGGGGGGTTGGATAGAGGGCAGGGGAGTTCAGGGTGGTGGTCGGGGGGCGGGGGTGTGGATAGGGATCAGGGTGATCGTGGGGGAACAGAGGGTTGAATGGGAGCGGGGGGGGCAGTCAGGAAGGAGGGGGGGTTGGATGGAGTGGCGGGGGGCAGTCAGAGGCAGGGGTTAAGGGGGCAGTCAGGGGACAGAGAGAAGGGGTGGTTGGATGGGGCAGGGGTCCCGGGGGGCCGTCAGGAATGAGAGGAGGGGTTGGATGGGGTGGAGGGGGTCCGGGGGAGGTCAGGGAACAGGGAGTGGGGGGGGTGGATGGGGCAGGGGTCCCAGAGGGGCCATCAGGGAACGAGGGGGTTGGATGGGGCCGGAGTCCCGGGGGGGGGCAGATAGGAGGTGGGGGCTAGGCCTCGACCCCCTCCCCTAACCAGCCCTCCATACAATTTACGAAACCCGATGCGGCCCTCAGGCCAAAAAGTTTGCCCGTCCCTGCCCTACACTCACACCCTCCAAATTTAACCAAATAATCCTTAGCCCTAGATCCTCAGCTGGTGTAAATCAGTGATGGTACTACTCCTATTTGCACCAGCTGAGGGTCTGACCCTTGGTCTGCCCAAACTGCTCATCGCAAGTGTCCAATATTTGAAATTCATGCTGTGTTATTTGTCTTTGATTGGACACACAAGTCACATGCTGTTTCGGTTGCCTGTTTGGATGAGCGGGAGCTCTTGAAATCAGGTTTCTGGTGCAAATAGTCACAAGTTCCTCCCCAGGAGATCCGCCAAAAGCAAATACTGGTGCAAAAGGGGTGTAAATCGTTACAGCAAATTCATCCAAACTTGGCTGGCAGTATTTCCTCCTCCTCGTTATGATTGCTATTATTATGCACATCTTTATGCCAGGATTTCAAAGCATTTTGCTGGCATTGATTAAGCCTCAATACCCCAGTAGAAGGTCAGCAAGTGTAATTAGTCCCCTTTCACAAATGGGGAAACTGAGTCACAGAGAGGCTACGGCTCAAATTTTCCAGTGCTCTCTCATTTGGGCTACATCCGTTTCTGGATATCCATTTTTTATGACTAGCTGATTGTACTACAGTAGGGTCTAGGAGCCCTGGTGACGGCCCAGGACCCCATTATGCGAGGCACTGTACAATCACAGAGCAAAAAGACCCATCTTTAGACGCGACGGGCTGGATCCTCTGCATAGCGCCACAGTCTTAACTGGAGCCACGCTAATTTACACCCCCTGAGGATCTGGCTCCTGAAGCCTGATTTTTAAGAATGCTGAACATTCAGAATTCCAGCTGAAATTAACAGGCACTACCGGAGCCCAGCTGCCCCTCTGAAATGCAGGTCAGCATGTGAGTCACTTGCTCAAGTTCCCACCGCAGAGTGGAAAATGCAACCTGGAATACCTGAAGCCCAGCACAACAGCCCCTGAAATCCCCAGCAGAGCAACTCCGGGTTTTTTATTCTAGCTGAGCAGAGCCAAGGAGCTGTCTGTGAGATACTATTGCTGGGATCATAAGAGCTGCTCTGTTTGCTGACACTGCTGCTGCACATAACGTACCCTGTTGCTTTCCAAAGTGCTTTGAGGAGCCTGGAGTTTAACAGGCACCCTGGAAGCTGCAGTTCTGGTTTCTACTGCCTGCAGCAGAATGCTGCCTTGCATATACAAAGCCGGGTCTTCAGCTCGTAAAACTCAATGTGACTCCATTGAAATCAATGGAGCTGCACCAATTTACATGAGCTGAGAATCCGGCATTCTTGAGTGTATTGCATAATGTGACATTTCCACTGGCATGCTGTGCACACAGAACCTGTAGTGTGGCGAGAAGGGGGATGAAATAAGTGAACAGATGTCAAAGGAGTTACCTGCCTCACCCCAAATAAGGGTAGGTCTTCGGTTCACATAGGTTTGAGCCCAAGCCCCTTCCGTCCACATACAAATCATTCTGACTTGGGGCAGCAAGCATCCCGGTCCCAGAACCCTGCTTGGCCAGTGGGTCAGAGGCTGAGTCCCGCTCAGCGGATGGGTCCAAGCCCTGTCATTTTGCAGTGTGGACGCAGCTCAAGCCACAGACCTAAGTCAGAAGGACTGCGTCGTACGCTATGAATGCCTTAGCACAGCTGAGAGACCCGGGGCCAGCAATTGTAAGCCCAGGTTAACAATGCCAGGGCTGCCGGGGGGGGGGGGCAAGTGGAGCAATTTGCCCCAGGCCCCGGGCCCCGCAGGGGCCCCCACGAGAGTTTTTCGGGGCCCCTGGAGCGGGGTCCTTCACTCGCTCCGGGGGCCCTGGAAAACTCTCGTGGGGCCCGGGCCCCCGGAGCTTCTTCCACTCCGGGTCTTCGGCAGCAATTCGGCGGCGGGAGTCCTTCTGCCCCGGGACCTGCCACCGAAGTGCCCTGAAGACCCGCGGTGGGGGGTCCTTCTGCTCTGGGACCTGCCGCCGAAGTGCCCTGAAGACCCGTGGCAGGGGGTCTTTCCGCCCCGGGACCCGCCGCTGAAGCGCCGGGTCTTCGGAGGCAATTCAGTGGCGGGGGCCCCCCGCCGCCAAAGACCCCAGGCCCCTCAATCCTCTGGGCGGCCCTGAACAATGCAGTGTGGATGGTCAAGCGCAGGCGTGGAAACACCAAGGCCACAAGCCCGGGTCCCACTGTTCTCAGTGGTACCAGATGACAGAACAAGGAGTAATGGTCTCAAGTTGCAGTGGGGGAGGTCTAGGTTGGATATTAGGAAAAACTTTTTCACTAGGAGGGTGGTGAAGCACTGGAATGGGTTCCCTAGGGAGGTGGTGGAATCTCCATCCTTAGAGGTTTTTAAGGTCAGGCTTGACAAAGCCCTGGCTGGGATGATTTAGTTGGGAATTGGTCCTGCTTTGAGCAGGGGGTTGGACTAGATGACCTCCTGAGGTCCCTTCCAACCCTGATCTTCTATGACTCCATTCTATGATTCTATGACCTGGGTTTACAATGCAGTGTAGGCATGCCCATTATCAGTATCAATCCAGGTACCGAATCCAGTATGACTGGAGCCTGATTGGACTTACAGTGGTGTAAAACAGGAGCAACTCCACTGATGTTACTGGTGTGAACCTGGTATGAGTGAGAGAAGAATCACAACCATCTTGATTAGTTTCATGCTTCAAAATTCTTAGGGCCTGATTCTTATTTACAAGTTGACCCTTTTTTACACTGCTCTGCCTTTGTAAAGGGGCCTTGCAGTGCGTGTTAATTACAGACACACTCAATTGAAGGCCCCTTCACCCTGCCAGAGCACTGAAGCCCCTGGGCTTCATTCTCCACTGTCTTTGCACCTGGGCAAGGGTTTACACCTACTTTGCACGGCTCCAGTGAAGCTACATGTATGCCAGCTGAGGATCTGGGCTGAGGAAAGGAAGCTTTTAAAACCCTCTTTGCACCGGTGTAAAGCACTGCTCCATAGGTGAGACATTAATAAATCAAGCCAAGGGGGACATCCCATAGCCAGGAGATAATGCAACCCCCTACAGTCTTTGTTTTGTTTCATCTACATGTCTCTCAGCTGCACCTGTGCGGGGATTATCAGTTATTGACTTTTCTCCTGACACTCCCTGGGGTTTATCTGCACTATTTACAGTTCCTGTTGGCTCCAGTTTGCCAACTGTTTTTTTAACATCCCCTCCTCAGATGGGCGCGGCCTGTGGTGAAAGGAGCGAGGAGTGGTTTGAGTTGGACTTTCCCAAGGGATTTGGTTAAGATCAAGAAGCCCCTTGTTAGAGCACAAGTCATTTTTTCCCCATTGTTTCCCTGGGACTATGTCAATGACAGGTATGTAACGTTATGAATCAGAGGGACCTACTCTATAGGCAGTGTTGCCTACTGGATAGTGCTGTGGACTGGGACTTGGGGTAGGTCTACACTACCCATGTCACAGCGCGGCCGCAGCAGTGCTGCCGCGGCCGCGCTGTGACATGCGCAGTGTAGACACGCTTTATCGCCAGGGGAGAGCTCTCCCGGCGATTAAAAAAAACCACCCCGAACGAGCGGTAGTAGCTTTATCTGTACTCTCTATACTGGCACTTTTCAGCACTAAAACTTTTGTTGCTCGGGGGGAGGGGAGGTTTCACACCCCTGAACGACAAAAGTTTTAGCGCTGAAAGTGGCAGTGTAGACACAGCCTTGGGAGACCTGCCTCTGCCACTGGCCTGCTGGGTGACCTTAAGCAAGTCATTTCACTGCCCCGTGCCTCAGTTTCCCCATCTGTAAAAGGGGAGCAATGCTACTGACCTCCTTTGTAAAGTGCATTGAGATCTACTGACGAAAAGTGCTTTATAAGAGCTAGGTATTATTATCTTTAATAGCTGTGATATATGTAATTTAGCCTTTTCTATGATGACGTTGTGACATTACCAAAACAGAACATTGTGATGTTTCCAGGAAGAACTATTCTGAAAGTGCCACTCCACACAGAAAAATTGAAAAAGTCCGCTTGTTTGTTACAATTCGGAACAAAAACACATTCTGAAATGTCGGCATTTCCCCCCGGGAGTGGAAATTCTGTTTCCCGACCGGCTTTAGTACAAAGTCTCTGTTTGCAAACAAAGCTTTCTCCCTGGCTACAATCGATCTGGCTTTCCTTCTGGAGAGAGTTTCCAGTCCCTCTTCCAATACTGTATCTGTACCTCAGCCAAAGGTCAGCCACTGACTACAGGGCTGGAAATCTCTTCTGAATGAGCCATCTAAATGGTCTTGGCACATGCAAATCATGTCCCTTAGAAGATTACAGTAGATAGATTCGACAACACTGTGCTGTTGGAAGCACGTGTGTACAAATGTGACACTGACAGACCTTAGTCGTTGGTGGACGGGACTGAACCTGGGACCTCAGCAGGGCTGCCCAGAGGATTCAGGGGGACCTGGGCAAAGCAATTTTGGGGGCCCCTTCCATAAAAAAAGTTGCAATACTATAGATTACTATATTCTCATGGGGGCCCCTGTGGGGCCCGAGGCCTGGGGCAAATTGCCCCACTTACCCCCCCCCGGGCAGCCCTGGACCTCAGTGCATGAGCCAAAAGCCATTTGGCTCTTAGCTAAGGCT